AATTCTCATTTTCAACCACACATTCTTCAATAAAATAATATTTTCCATCACATCAATACTTTTTTCTTCTTTTTCAACCACACATTTCTCATCATATCACTATTCAAAATCAATTCTTTCCCCAAAAATTCCTATCAAACAGGTTCTTAATTCTTTTTTATAGAAATAAAAAAATGGAAAAAATAAGAGTCGGAGCTCACGAGTCAAAGTGTCGAGCCAATCATAAAATTTGAACACAAGTCGACTATTCGGTTCATTGCCACTCTTATGCACGTGTAGGCTGAAAGTATTAGTTGATATCCAAACTTTTTGGTCTAGAGAGTGGAATTTGAACACACTTGTGATATATTAGTCCGGAGGTTTGAATGCACAACGATTTTTAGATGTAGACTTAAAAAGGCATAGTATGTGGAAAGAAATGAGTTTATCGCGAATTAAGTTTATATGTAATGATAATTGTCCTTGTACTATGAAGATTTGCTTCCATTAGAATATTTTTACTCGCTTTCTCATAATAATTGCTGATTATACCAAACTTGGCAAAAGCTCGAGCATGGTGCTCGTGCTCGATTAGGAGGTCTCCACTTTGACTAATAGGACATATGACCTCCTCGGGCCACCTAATTTTCAGGTCATACTTCTTCCCTGAAAAGATACCTAATTTTCAGGTCATACTTCTTCCCCGAAAAGATAGAGTCCTAGTGTTCGTATGTTAACTCATCCTAAAAGGATTCTACGGCCAGAATTTAACTTCTATCTAAACACGTGGATGATATGAAACCAATCATGTAAAAACTTTTAGTCATGTTAGAACTCCTAGAGATCTCAACATTGTGATCCTATTAGGACTGTGTCACCAACCTCTATAAATACATCATCCCTGTTAATGTGCGTTTTTTACATAATTCTTTAGCGCATATCTTTTCACAAATTCTCTCTCTGACTTAAATATCGGAGGGGCGACGAGAATACATCTCTACGCCTTTGTTTCAGGTACCGGAATACCTCGTTCGTACTCATTCTCAATCGCCAAGCTCGGAAGTCGACATGTATGATTTTTGATAGCATCATTGGCGCCGTCTGTGGGAAACGCTACCAAAAGCTATGGTCAACACACGTTCAGGTTTTCCTCCAGCAAGTTCATTCGCACCAATCCTACCACTCGTTGCAGATCCCCCCAGCTCATCAAGAAGAATAATCCACAGCACCAGCTGCACAACCGTCGGTGATTGATGTGGTCTTTCGAAGAGCTTCGTCGGCAAGTGACAATGCTGACCCAATTATTAAGCCAAAGGGATGCTCATCCGACGCCGAAACAACCATTGGCACCAGCAAGGCTCACGACCGATGCTCGAGCTCGGGATACTCAAGAAGTTCATGACAATACTGGTTCCGGGGCCTCGGGTGTGCCACCAGTGGCCTTGGGCTCGAGGTTGGTCACCATGGACTCAGGCGAACTCGCAAAGATCATACATAATGGAATCACCGCTGGACTTCAAAAGAGCACCCAATGAGCGACGGGGTTTACCCCTAACACTCCCTCCACTCTGGAAGTGCTCTCCTATCCGCTCCCAGGCAGGTTTAAACTTCCCCAAATGAAGGAGTATGATGGAACAACTGACCCTACCAACCATCTCAACGTATATACGGACGTCATGAACCTACAGGTGGTACCAGATCCCGTGATATGCAAAACTTTTCCGCAAACACTGACCAACGCTTCTAGGGATTGGTTCTCTACCCTAGAGCCCAATTCCATTGCTTCATTCTCCGACTTGGCTGAAAAGTTCTCCGCTTTCTTTGCTAGTAGAAAACGCATCAAAAAGACTGCCGCATCCCTCATGCAGCTCAGGCGGGGACCGAATGAATCCCGGTGTAACTTCATGACCAGGTTCAACAATGAAAGGCTTCAAATACCCGACCTACACATAACAGCAGCGATCTCCGCCCTCACATATGCTATAAGGGGCGATGCCTTCAAGATGTCCCTCTAAAAAAAATCCGCTGAAATCCGTGACCGAGCTACTTACCCGAGCAGAAAAATACATTAATATGGAGGACCCGAGGAGAAATTATCACCCGAGCTCTGAGAAACCTGAACACAAAAGGCAGCACGATTTTCATCCTCGTCCAGAAGCTAACAATAATAAGCAGAAACATAAGGCATCGCTGACGTCGTTAACCCGATTGAACACTTCCAAGTCTAACATTCTGATGGAGATCAAGAATATGAAGGATTTTAAATGGCCATCGAGGATGCAATCCCCTCTTTACACTCGAGACAGAAACAAGTATTGCGACTATCATCAAGACCATGGGCATACAACAGAGAACTGCAAGGCCCTCCTGCGAGAGATTGAGGCTTTAATAAAAAGGGGTTATTTAAGTTGATATGTCAGTTAAGACAAATGCCCGAGGAACAATCGAGACATCGGCAAGGGTCCCGATAGGGGAGAATGACAAGCCCATTGCAGGAACGATTAATATTATTGTTGGAGGGATAGCATCAGGAGGAGACTCAAACAGTAGACGCAAGCAGTATGCCAGGCAGTATAACCCGAGCTTGAGAACGACGCCTGACTATACGGAAGAAATCACGTTCGAGTTACGAGACTTGGAAGGCCTTTCACATCCACATGACGATGCACTGGTCATATCAGCAATCATAGCCAATTTTGAGGTGAAGATGATATTAGTTGACAATGGGAGTGCGGCCAACGTGCTCTCCCATGAGGCATACTCTAGGATGGGGATTTCGGACGAACAACTCAACACTGTTAAAACCTCGCTTCAGGGATTTGGAGGCGGCACAATCATTCAAGAGGGAATCGTCAATCTTCCACTCACGTTGAGGTCGAATCAGAATCAGGTTACAGAGATCATATCATTCTAGGTAGTTCGCTCTTCAATGGCTTACATTGCCATTCTGGGAAGGCTATTGCTCAACAAGATCAGGGCTATTGTTTCTACTTTCCAATGCTATGAAGTTCCCTACCAATAATGGTGTAGGAGTAGTGCGCGGGGACCAGTCAGCTGCTAGACAGGACTACGTAACAAATGTTCGAGGAATAAGCTCCAATATCATGTATATCTTGTCATTCGGACCCGAGCCCGACCATGGAGGTCGACTTAGCCCGGTGGAAGAGGTTGTAGAGGTCGAGCTCGAGCCCAACAGAAAGGTGACGATTGGTCGGGATCTTGACCCCAATCTCATGGGGATACTGATAAGTTATCTGTCCCGCAACATAGATGTCTTTGCCAAGAGTGTCGAGGACGTACCCGGGATAGACCCGAGCATTGCGGTCCACAAACTCAATATCAACCTAGGAGCAAAATCGATCAAACAAAGGAAGAGACAATTCGCACCAAAACGGCATGAGGTCATTCAGGAGGAGATTGATAAGTATCAATGCTCGGTTTATTCCAGAAGTTCAATACCCCGACTGGCTCGCCAACGTCATGCTCGTCAAGAAGGCTAATGGAAAATGGAGAGTTTGTATCGACTTCACAGATCTTAACAAGGCATGCCCAAAAGATAGATGTCCCATACCTCGGATCGACAACCTCGTGGACAGCACGTCAGGATATAAATTGTACAACTTTCTCGATGCATTTTTCGGATATTATTAGATCCTCATGGCTGAGGAAGACCAGGAGAAGACATCATTCATGGCTGATTCGGCCATATATTGTTATAGGGTCATGCCATTCGGATTGAAGAATACAGGAGCGGCTTCTTAGAGACTCATCAACAAAATCTTTGCAAGAATGATTGGGGAAAGTTTTGAAGCTTATGTGGATGACATGGTAGTCAAGGGTCAACAAGCGGAGCAACACATAGAAGATCTTAAGGAGGTCTTCTCCACTTTACGGAAGTATAAAATAAAGTTGAATCCAGTGAAATGCGCCTTTGAAGTTGCATCGGGCAAATTTTTGGGGTTCATGATCACGCACATGGGGATTGAAGCCAACCCAGACAAAATAAATGCACTGACATCCATGGAGTCCCCTAGGAATAAGAAAGATGTTCAAAAACTGACCGGCCCGTCGCCGCCCTGAACAGGTTCATGTCTCGTGCAGCCGACAGGTGCTTTCCATTTTTTAAAGCTCTAAGGGGAAATCATAACTTTGAATGGAACGAGAATTGTGAGAGAGCATTCCAAGAGCTCAAGCAAACGTTGGCAACCCTTCCAGTCCTCACGAGATCAGAGCCCGGAGACACTTTATTTTTATACTTAGCAGTTTCTCAGAACGCAGTAAGCGACGTGTTGGTGAAAGAGGCCGGCAGAGCTCAACAACCAATCTACTACGTGAGTAAGGTATTGCTTGATGCAGAGTCCAGGTATACTTTGGCCAAGCAGCTAGCTCTTGCCCTGGTGGT